TGAAGAAAACATCCCTAGTGACCGCTGCCCAGATCATAAAATCATAGACATGCTCTGACCTCACAAATGGGCACTGAGATGGAAGAATGGGTGTTCAGTGTAAAAGTTGTAGGCTGGGCAGCATCTCTGTCCCAACAGACCAGGGAGCTAATTTCAGTGACCTCTGGGACTCCTTCACAGGTGTCTTTGTTTAAGCTGTTGGTTTGAGGCTTTGACAGAACCTTTTTGGACAGGAAGGCAGTGATTGCCAGGCCTCATGGCCTGCCTCCCTTAAAAGGGGGGGCAAGCAGACAGTTTAAAGTGATGTGCTCCCTCGTCCAAGGTGGATTTGGCTCTCTCAAACTGGCCTAGCATACCTCACTTTTTGATGCATGCCCGTCACAACAAAAGTCATAGAGATTCTTAAGAAACACCTGCACCTAATCATGACAGAGATGGCAGTACTGCAAACCGTTCACCATCCACACATCGTTCGCCTCTTCCAGGCTTTAACAGCAACAAAATATTCATGCATAATTAGAGAATATGTGCCAGGAGGCAATCTGTACCAGCTAGTGAAGGCAGGCTGCAGGAGGAAAAGGTCCGGAAGATATTCGGGCAGCGAGTGTCAGCCATCGGGTCCTGCCATGACCATGATCTAGCCCACCAGAATCTGAAGCCCAAAAACACCCTTCAAGATGCAGAGGTCAAGGTGAAGCTCCGACACTTTGGCCTTGCCATCAGGAGTGGAGCTGGCACTCTGCTGCATGGGCGCTGTGTGGTACCAAGAGCTACAATGCTCCAGAACTGGTTCTGAGGGAAGGCTACTATGGGAGAAAGGCAGAGAGAAGTGTGGAGTCTTGGTGTGCTTCTCTATTTTATCGCCACTGGGCACTACCCCTTCAGAGGAAGCATCCTGAAAGAGACTGGGAAAGTATAACCAATGGGACCTTTGGTGTCACAGCTCACATCTCTGGACAACTTGAAAACCTAATTCATCAAATTTTAATGGTTACTTCAGAGAGCAGGCCCTTTATTGAAGGTCTTCATTAGCATCCATGGGTAAAGAACTCTGAAGGAAACATGCCCAGTGATCCTTATGTAGATCCTAAGATCATAGACAAGCCCTTTGACATTGGGTTTAATGCCAAAAACTGAAGTACGACGAGATAACATGTCACACCTAATACTCGAAGAGTAGGTAAACAGGGCTGGAGGTTGACTTCCCCCAACTTAGTCAAGTTGGCAGAACTTGGCCCTACACCTCTACCATCTCTGGTACCTCTTTTTATATCTGATTGTCACCAAAAACAAAGAGCCAGTGAGCCCTTTTGTCCTTTTCCACACCCTGCTTTCCTAATGCACCTGCCTGCTGTCCTGACACTATCAGGGCAGAAGATGACCAGGTACCTCCGTGCCTCTATGTTGTCAACAGGAAGAATTCCACTTGTAGCTATGCCCCGCTGGCCAAGGCTGTGGCTGCCCCATGATTGTGCAGCTGCGTGTTGGAATTGGAAATACCCTGCCACCTTGACCTGACTCTGACGTGGAGTAATTCAGGAGTGAATCATAGCTTGCCTGTCAAGATTGTGTGGCTCCCCGAGGGCTCCAAGTACACAAACCCAGTGTGTATTGAACAACAAAGTGGCTCCTCTGAAAGAGTCAGGAGGCAGAGCCTGTGAGGAATTGGGCAAGTACGTAAGAAATGATGCATACGTACTTTATATTTAATCTTCACCATTTATATTTCATGTCTGTTCATTAGAAAATTTAAAAAAAATGGGGCTACACCAGTTGGACTGAAACCTGCTACTTAGCATACCTCTTCAGGAAGAAATCCTGAAGAAACATACCTAAGAGGTCTCTCACGCAGCTGGATGAGCAGTAGACAGCAGGACTTTGATTAGTACTGGCATGGGGGATGTGGATCTGTTGACCACTGTGAACAGTTGTCCAGATTGGGAAACTCTGCTTAGGGATCTCGTTTTTGGAAAAGGACAGTGAAAAAAAGCACAAAGGAGCCAATTCAACGTCTCCCTACAGTTTGTCTCTACAGGCAGAGTGTGCTGAGCTGGTGAGACCTGACATCACAGTGTCAAGACCAACATGGGGAGGCCGACCTGGATTCCAAGTTCCCTTGTGCCCTGTAATCCCATCTCGAGGAGTTGTTTGCAGTATCAGAGGCTTCTCCACAAGGGCATTCCAGAAGCATGCCCTCAAAGAACAGAGTTGCCTGCTGAGCACTCATGTTTTCCAACCCTCAGCCTTCCATATCTGAGGAGCCCCGATGATGGATTTGTTCGATGGGACATGACCTATGTTCCTGCGATACCTTTGAGTTACTTCCTACTTGTAGGTTGTCTGACTACCAAGAATGGTGGACCATTGTTGCTGAGGCTCAGGTCTGTCTGTAATAGAACTTAGCTGGAAGCGTGAAGTAAAATTCCCTTACCTGAGCAAGCGATGGAGAAGGGAGAGGAAGCTGTTGTGCATAAGGAACAAATGTCCAGATGGAATCTAATGTGATAATCTGATGTTGGGAGCTGCAGATCCCTGGCCCCTTGACTTTCTTTGCCTGCCTCAGATTCATTGCCTGCTGGAGTGAACTGAGCCCAAGACCTACAGCTGCTCTTAGCATGAGACCTTGATGGCAGGGGAGTGGATTCTGATGAGGCCTTCAGATGAAAATCCCAGGAGCTGGGCGTGGCTACCAGTTATCTTTTTATAATACTCCCCTTGGCCTGAGCACAATAAACTTGGCACTTTTATATAAAGGATGACCTTTGTCCGTGTCTCTGTCTGTGTGCATGTTTTAAAATCTCCAGGCCCTGTTTTGAAAGCTCATACAACCTTTCCTGTAGTGGCACGGGCACTACAGGACTGTCGAGATTTTACAATCTGGTGCCTGGCACAGGGACTATGGTCAAGGCTAAAGGCGTCACCTCAATGTCTCCCGGCAGTTAAGATAGACAAATGGAGATACTGACCTCAGCCATGTTTGCTAATATCAGAAACTGGGGCATCAGAGAAGTCTGGACAGTAACATCTGATGAGAGTCTGAATGTTTAGTATCTCATGATGCATGACCAGTCCACGGACACCAGCCAGTACAGGAAGGCGATATGATTGTAGTGACACAGGACTCTCCATGGGGAACTAATTACATTCTCTACAGAAGAACAGAGCAGAGCCGGGCTGTACATGGTCCCCAGAGGCCACGCCCTTAAACGGCCGGGATTCGCACATCCCATTCCCCTCGGGACCAGTAACAAGGGGTAAAACTTTCCCATTTCCCAGGGTCCTCTGCCACCCAGGGATGCCTGGCTTCCTAACTGGAAAGCAGGCCTCACAGGAGGAACAGAGCAGTGGGCATGACAAGCGAGTCCCATAGGACAAGGGGCTGGGCAAATGGTGCAGCAAGGTGTCTCCCCCCCCAAGTCACTCCCCTACAGGGCTGGGATTCCCACTTCCCATGGCCCTAAGGACCAATGACAGAGGGAAGAACTCGCCCATTGCCCCAGGGCCCCTCCCCACTTGCAGGACCAGGGCCTTCTGACAATTTTATGGCAGTTACCCAATCAGGCTTTGGACCGCCTACCCCCACCTCCTGGCAATCATCCCTCCTGGGCCCTGGGGCGAATCTGACACACAGAAGCACTGAACTCTGCATAACCTATGCAGTTTGAGACCTGCAGTGCGCGCTCCTGAGCTCTGACTCCTTCCCGCACCGGTCGAACAAGTACACAGCCCCGCAGCCATCTGTGCCTCCTACCCTCCCAGACTCCAACAAGAGACCTCCAGGATCGCTGGCGCCCCTCACTGCCAAATTGTGAAGAACGACCCAAGGCCCTCCCTGGAGAGCACTTCGCGGCCACGCCCACTCGGCTGCAAAGCCCATTCCCTAGAAGCACTGGGCTCCGGCCTCCCGGGCCTCAGGCCTAGGCCAGTCCTGCAGCACCACCTAGGCTGCAGCCAGGAAGCAGCCCTGGAACCAATTCAAAATCTCTTTTGCCTGTGTGTCACGTGTCACTTCTGGCTCCTGTGGAGGCAGAGACACACCGCGCTTGCCTTGGAGTCAGCTGGCTGCGTCCTCAGCCACCCCAAAGTGCCTGGCTTCCTAATTGAAGAGCAGGCCACACAAGAGGACAAGAGAGGTGGGCGGGACCAGCGAGTCCCAGAGGCTGCATGGCTGTTTCAGAGCGAATAGGAACCAGGGAGAACTAGGGAGGCAGAGACAATACAGGGAATGGTGAGATTCATTCTACCAGTCCTGTTCATGTGGAGAATCTTGAATATTGCAGCTGCATGTTTTTATGCACCAGTCCATGGAGGAATGTGCTGGCTAACAGCAGTGCTCATAAAGACATTCTCCCTGGTTCTGTTATTCCCTACGTATCCAAATTTCCACGAACACTACTCTCTTTATTATTTTTCATTTGCTGGAATCTGCTCTGAATTTCAGGAATAAAACTCATAAAGCCATGGAGCTGTCATCCAGCGTTCTGATGGGGAAAATATCTGTTATCTTGTTTGAGATCTGGTCTGCTTTTCATTGTTGTCTGAAATTGCTGTGACAACCAGGTAAAAAGTAGCTTCAGTTCATCTGACCTCACCGTGAAACCAGAGAACAAACATCTCCTTTTGTGACCTTAAAACTCTCTACCTGTTAATATTCTGGGCATCCTTCCCCCTGTGAGGCAGGAAATCTCTCCGCCCACCTAATACAGTGTACTGTAAAAGCTAGCTAGCCAAGTTGTGTTCAGTAGGAAAAAGGGAAAGTTCCTACGGAGTGAAAGAAGTCTGCATCTGCTTGGGAGCCAGGGGCAAGTGCTATTGAAATGCATATCCTGGCCGAGCTAGAAAAGATCTTTGACTGGTGTGGAATGACCAGAAACCACTGTGCTGTGCCTTTAAGCACACAATAGCCCTGTGGGAGGTGTTTTTGTCACTCAGGCCGCACTAGCCAATCAGGCCCTCCAGATGACCTGCCAGTCAGAAGTCGTGCAGGACTCTTCCGGGCACCGGGTTTCAGGTTTGGCTTTGAAGAGGAGCTGGCGCCAGTGGTTTAGTATGCTGTGGAGCTGCTGCTGCTGCTGCAGGGAGAGGATGAGCTAAGAGTTTTGGCGAGCTGGGGAACCACAACATGGTGAGCTAGGGAAAGCTGTCTCCAGATGGGGAACAGCAGAGGGTGAGGTGCGAGAGACACGAGGATGCATTCTCCCTGGATGTGGGTGGGAACCTGCCACCAGATTCCATGCAGTTCTTGCTAATTCGTGGAACTGCAGGCAGGGCTGTGAATAACTCTGCTCTGTGGGCTTAATTTGCTTAGAGAGTTGGGAGCAGGGAGCTGTGTGTACAAACGTCTTTCTAGTCAACTTCTACAGGCTTCATGCATCTATGGAAACAAGTTGCCAAACTCGTAGAGGCCTAGATGCTGCAGTATCTTCTCGACATTGAGCACTTTGCATTTCACCTTTACAAATAATCTCCATTTATATTTAAGTTTGTGGAGGTTATCAAAGGCATCTCACGTGTTGTGTAGCACTGTCTTAATGTACAAGAGTAGAATTAGAGATATAAAGGATTTACTAATGCTTAGAAAATAGTTAAGTCTCACAAAGTAGAATTTAGCTGATGGAAGACTGTTTAAAACACTCAAAAGATTAAGTGTATGTAAATCAGGGCTGGTAGAGATTAGGATGCTAGGGCACGCATTGTTCTTTAGGGTTGTCCAGATATGTAGCTCCAAACCATTACAAAGAAGCCACCCCTGATTCACAACCAGTCTCTAGGCCAATCCCCATATCAAAGAAAAGGCCTCTAACAAGCTGTGCAAGGAGGCATTACAGGGTCCCAGCCAACCTTAAGGCCTGGTGTGCCTTAAAGTTTCTGTTTTCTTTTTGAGAAAAGCACAGTTCTGACAGATGGGCAATATGACATCAGGTGACAAATATATGAAAAGTAAAACACTGTTGTGATAAGGACTGACCTGATCAATTAAGGCTTTCATTTAGGACCTCAGGCAGGGAGAAAGAACGTTCTTGGGAGCATTCCCTAAGGGGCCGATGTATTGATAATAAAACACAGCTCCTTCTCTAAAACCAGGAATGTGTTTGGAAGAGCTGGTAATGGTCTGGGGCTAAGTCCTTTGTGGAGGGGTTGCTTCAGGTCCTGAGAAACCCAGTCTTCCAAGCATATAGAGCTTTGATTTTTAGTCCCCAAGGCCACACTGCACTTAGTAAAGTTTCTGAGATACCCTGTGTTCTCCTTGTGTAGAATTGTTTGACTAACTTCCTCCTAAATTTGTCCCATCGTGTGATAGTTTCTACTGACTTCATAAAATTCTCCCAATTCCTTCCATCCCCCCCTAGAAGATATAAAATATAAGATGCTATTCTTTCTTTTTGTTGTTGGTTTTTTGTTTTTGAGACAAGATTTCTCTGTGGGTTAGTCCTAACTATCTTGGAACTCACTCTGTAGACCAGGCTGGCCTCACAGGGATCCACCTGCTTCTGCTTCCTGAGTCCTGGGATTAAAGGCATGCGCCACCAGCACCCGGGAAAATCCTATTCTTGGGACATACCCTCTGCAAGACCTCCCCACCCTAGCTTTTATGTTTCTTACCTTCTACTTGTCCTATCTTTGTCATCCCCTGTGATTTCCTCAGAACCCTGTCATTGGAGTGGACTGCTGTTTCAGCTCACGGGTATACTTTAGAAATTATTCTGGCAATGTTTTTGTTCTATAACTCCCCTATCTGCCTAAATGTCTAGCCGGCAAAGTGCCTGTTTCTATTTCAGTTGTTCAAAGAGTAACCTGGAGCCTGACCCTAAAGGATACTTAAGGAAACAGCCTATGTGGAATGCAAAATCTGTGTAGCTGGCTCCTCTTTGAGCATTAGCCGGAGATGGATGCATGCCATCATTAAGCAGAGTTTTCTGTATTAATCTCCTAGGTGTGTGAAGTGATTTGTCATTGGAAAGGCATATTAGTTCTACAACAGTTGCATTTCCATCCTGTTAGAAAACTTGTTTCTGAGACAACTTCTCTTATGTTGACTTAGGTAGCCTTGTTCTGCTGCTGTCCAGGGCAATGACCTTGCTGTCCTCCATATTACACTTTCAAAATTCTTAAATTAGAAGACTGTACTACCTCACAGTTTTAAAATTATACATTTGAGTCACGTAGTTGACTATCCGGTGCAGTTGCAGGGAAAGGATTTGCATATGAAAACGGAGCATTCCTTCTGTCCTCAGACCACAATAGGAAAAATAGATTATTGTGTGCACTGCAGGGGGCACAGCATAGGGAATCAGCTGTTGGAGCCACCACTATGAAAAAGGGATAGTGATTTTGTAATTTCCCAGCATGTTTTAATGAATGTCGTGTGACTGAATACAGACCAGATTGTGTGGGTGTATAGATTGGGAAGGTTATCTTGAACTAATTAATACTGAATTTACAATTAGGCAACTATCCTCTGCAGATATGATTGATCTTGCTTGACACAGTCATGTCAGCTCAGAGATTTGAGAAACAGGCCATTGACTGTAACTCCATGTGTCAGGTTACAGCCAACATATGTATATGGGCACCATCAATCTACCTCTTATTAATGACATCCCCTCTCCTAGGGAAGGGCCTACTCTTTTCCAAAGTCAATATAGTAAAGTTTTATCTAATCTTAAAAATGCATTATTCCTATCATTTTTAAAAATCACTTTTTGGTCTTATTTTCAAATACTTTAAGTGTATTGCTGCTCTTATCTCTATTTGTTTCTGTTCTCCAATGTTTCTAGGTCATTAATAGTTGCATTTTATTTCTTTCAAGTGATGTTATTATTGGCTTCTGTGTAGAGCAATGTCTCCTATAGTTTAGGCTTGCCTCATGCTATGTAATTGAGAATCATTGTGAACACCCAATCCTGCCTCTGCCGCCCAGTGCTGGGAAGACAGTCCTGCATCCTTTTCCAAACTGGGACTTGACTAGTCAGTGAGAATAAAAATAGAGCAGTTCATGAGTGTCTACTGATCTTTCTGGCTTTTATTGGGGACTTAGAAGAAGAGAAACCTGTGCAAGAATTGAGCTCATTGACACTCTTTGAAGCTGGTGCAGACAGTGCAGGAAAGGAGAGAATGGAGGGAGGGTGAGAGCTTTCCTCCTTCAGTAGTAGTTGAGATTAGCTATGGGGAGACAGGTCGTCGATTGTAGATGCTCTATGAATGTCCTGATTGGCCCTTGTCTTAATAATTGACTTATATTCTATTGTGTAAATGTACCACATTTTTATCCATTCTCTGGTTGAGGGACATCTACATCTAGTTTGTTCTGGTTTCTGGCTATTATTATCCTATATCCAGTAACTATAAACACAGTTGAGTTGAGCAGGTGTTCTTATGGTAGGATGACTGGAAAATTCAAACAACCTCCATTATTTAGGTCTATCTTTTAAAAGGGAAGTAAAAAATGTATTTGTAAAATGGAAATCAAAATCCTTTTTTTTTTTTCTTTTTTCGAGACAGGGTTTCTCTGTGGTTTTGGAGCCTGTTCTGGAACTAGCTCTTGTAGACCAGGCTGGTCTCGAACTCACAGAGATCTGCCTGCCTCTGCCTACCAAGTGCTGGGATTAAAGGCGTGTGCCACCACCGCCCGGCGGAAATCAAAATTCTTTGGAGAAGAAGTTTTGCTTTTGTTTCCATGGAAAACATGAGTCTGTGAATTTGTTCCAGGTTGATATGGATGAAGTTTGATCAGGGAATACCCCCTGAATCTTGATAGGTGATATATATCAACAAAGTTTATAGCTGGTCCTCCCTGGTCTTGGCTATTTTCTCAAATTTTCTTAGGGACTTGTAGAGATGCCTCCATCCACAGGCAACAGGACTTGGTATAGAGAAAATGACACATATATTCCCAAGAGTTATGATGTGGGAGGCTTTTGGTTATTTGGTGTGTCATGGATGTTTGCTGTAATTTAGGGAAATATAGGATAAAAAGATAACTATTTATCTCGTATATTTTACATTGGTATGGATTTTGGTATAATGATCAAATTTAAAGTTAATTCCGTTACACTGTATGTTTCTATTCTTATTTGGGTATTGTCTTTATGCAGCTGATTTAAAATTCAATAATTAAGAAATGAGGTTACTAGTTAATCTCTAATAATCAAACTTGTAGTCACATTAGGTATGTTTTCAAGCTTATATCACTATATTTTAGAAAGATAGATCATTTTAAAACTCACAAAATATGACATTTAAGATGTTTAATAACCTAAGGGTTTTCATGACAATGAGACATATCTGCTCCTGGCAGCACCAATTTACTTAAAAAAAAAAAATAATGGGCATTGAAGAAACCGTTGGAGTTTGCTTTCCTTATGGCAAGGTTAGCCATTTGGGCAAGAAACTGTTTTTCCTTGACTGCTTGCTAGTATGCTGTTTAAGCAAGACATGCAGGACTCATGGGAAAATGACTGCTGACCTTTGCCAAAACAAAGGGGGATGGTTTTCAGGTTTCCTGCTTCACTGGAGATTCTGCCAGGCATTTTGCAAGACAGAGAGGAAAATGACTGATGGAATTTGTCAGTACAAGGTGTAACAGTCCTTAAAATGTCCTGCTTCACTATAAACTCTGCCAGATACTGTAGTATCTGTTGATAATGGATGGCCCAGTTTGCGGAACTTTGGGTGACTGTCCAGGCAGCCAGATTTCTCTTATAATAAGTAATATTATATTCTTCTCGAGTCTTTGATGGAACTAAAGAGTAAATAATTTTTAGAACTTAAGATAGAAAGTAAATTAGGGGGCTGGAGAAATGGCTCAGCGGTTAAGAGCACTGACTGCTCTTCCAGAGGACCCAGGTTCAATTCCCAGCACCCACATGGCAGCTCACAACAGTCTGAAAATCCAGTTCCAGGGGATCTGACACCTTCACACCAATGCACATTAAAAAAAAAAAAAAAGATAAACAAATAAAAAAAAGAAAGTAGAATGGCTTTGAGTTTCTCTCCGTTTAATTTGATGTTAGCTGTCGGCTTGCTGTATATAGCTTTTATTATATTTAGGTATGACCCTTGTATCCCTAATCTCTCCAATACTTTTATCATAAAGGGATGTTGAATTTTGTCAAATGCTTTTTCAGCATCTAATGAAATGATAATATGGTTTTTTTCTTTCAGTTTATTTATATGATGGATTACATTGATAGATTTTCATATGTTGAACCAGCCCTGCATCTCTGGGATGAAGCCTACTTGATCATAATAGATAATTTTTCTAATGTGTTCCCGGATTCGGTTTGCCAGTATTTTGTTGAGGATTTTTGCGTCGATATTCATGAGTGAGATCGGCCTATAATTCTCTTTCTTGGTTGAGTCTTTGTGCGGTTTTGGTATCAGAGTAACTGTAGCTTCATAAAAGGAATTTGGCAATGCCTCTTCTGTTCCTATATTGTGAAATACATTAAGGAGTATAGGTATTAGGTCTTCTTGGAAGTTCTGATAGAATTCCGCATTGAAACCATCTGGTCCTGGGCTGTTTTTGGTAGGGAGGTTTTTGATAACCTCTTTTAATTCTTCGCGACTAACAGGTCTATTTAGATTGTTCACCTGTTCCTGGTTTAACTTTGGTATATGGCATTTATCTAAAAAAGTGTCCATTTCCTTTACATTTTCCAATTTTGTGGCATATAGGCTTTTGTAGTAAGATCTAATGATTCTCTGAATTTCCTCTGTGTCTGTGGTTATGTCCCCCTTTTCATTTCTGATCTTATTAATTTGCAAATTCTCTCTCTGCCGTTTGATTAGTTTGGATAGGGGTTTGTCAATCTTGTTGATTTTCTCCAGGAACCAGCTTTTTGTTTCATTGATTCTTTGGATTGTTTTCTGTGTTTTCTATTTTGTTGATTTCAGCCCTCAGTTTGATTATTTCCAGTCTTCTACTCCTCCTAGGTGAGTTTGCTTCTTTTTTTTCTAGAGCTTTCAGGGAGGCTGTTAAGTCTCCAATGTGAGCTTTCTCTGTTTTCTTTAAGTGGGCACTTAGTGCTATGAACTTCCCTCTTAGGACTGCTTTCATAGTGTCCCATAAGTTTGAGTATGTTGTTTCTTCATTTTCATTGAATTCCAGGAAGACTTTAATTTCTTTCTTTATTTCTTCCTTAATCCAGGTATGGTTCAGTAGTTGACTGTTCAGTTTCCATGAGTTTGTAGGCTTTCTGGGGGTAGCATTGTTATTGAATTCTAACTTTAATCCATGGTGATCTGATAAGACACAGGTGGTTACTAATATTTTTTTGTAACTGTGGATGTTTGCTTTGTTACCGACTATGTGGTCGATTTTCGAGAAGGTTCCATGAGCTGCAGAGAAGAAGGTATATTCTTTCCTATTTGGGTGGAATGTTCTATAGATGTCTGTTAAGTCCATTTGCTTCATTACCTCCATTAATTCTCTTATTTCTCTGTTAGGTTTCTGTCTGATTGACCTGTCCATTGGTGAGAGAGGAGTGTTGAAGTCTCCTACTATTAGTGTGTGCGGTTTGATGGCTGCCTTGAGTTTTAGCAATGTTTCTTTTATGTACGTGGGTGCTTTTATATTAGGGGCATAGATGTTCAGGATTGAGACTTCATCCTGATGAACTGTTCCTGTTATGAGTATAAAATGCCCCTCTCCATCTCTTCTGATTGATTTAAGTTTGAAGACTACTTTGTTAGAGATTAGTATGGCCACACCTGCTTGTTTCTTAGGTCCATTTGCTTGATAAGCCTTTTCCCAGCCCTTTACTCTGAGTAGGTGCCTGTCTTTGTGGTTGAGGTGTGTTTCTTTTAAACAGCAGAATGTTTTTATCCTGTTTTCGTATCCAATCTCTTAGCCTGTGCCTTTTAATAGGTGAGTTGATTCCAGTGACATTAAGTGATATTAATGACCAGTGGTTGTTAACTCTGGTCATTTTTTTAGTCGTAGAGTTTGTGTGTTTCCCTTCTTTGACTTGTGTGGGTGAAGGGTCTCTAGATGTCTGAGTTATTGTGGTCATTGTTGGACTCCTTGGTTAGTGATTTTCCTTCTATTACTTTCTGTAAGGCTGGATTTGTGGCTGCGTATTGTTTAAGTTTGTTTTTATCCTGGAAAATTTTATTTTCTCCATTTATAGTGAACAAAAGCTTGGCTGGGTATAGTAACCTGGGCTTGCATCCATGGTCTCTCAGTTTCTGCAGTACATCTATCCAGGACCTTCTCGCTTTCATGGTTTCCATGGAGAAGTCAGGTGAAAGTCTGATAGGTTTACCTTTATAAGTAATTTGGCCTTTTTCCTTTGCAGCTCTTAATATTCTTTCCTTATTCTGTATGCTTTCTGTGTTGTGATAATTTTATGGCGAGGGGATGTTTTTTTTTTTTTTTTGATCCAGCCTGTTCGGTGTTCTGTATGCTTCTTGAACCTTCATAGGTATATCTTTCTTTAGGTTGGGAAAGTTTTCTTCTATAATTTTATTAAATATATTTTCTGGACCATTGAGCTGCACTTCTCCTTCTTCTACTCCTATTATTCTTAGGTTTGGTCTTTTTATTGTGTCCCATATTTCCTGAATATTTTGTGATGAGAGTTTGTTGGACTTGCTGTTATCTTTGATCAGTGTGTTTATTTTCTCTATGGTATCTTCAGAATCTGAGATTCTTTCTTCTAACTCTTGTATTCTGTTGGTTATGCTTGTATCTGTAGACTTGTTTGTTTACTTAAATTTTCCATGTCCAGCCGGCCCTCTGTTTGTGTTTTCTTCTTTGCCTCCATTTCAGTTTTCAGGTCTTGAACTGTTTCCATTATCTGTTTGATTGTTTTTCCTTGGTTTTCTAGGGTATCATTCACTGATTTATTCAATTCTTCAAACTTTATGTTATGTTTCTCATCCATTTCTATAAGAGCGTTTTTTACATGCTGTTTAAGGGCGTCAATCACTTTCATGAAGTCAGTCTTTTCTACTTCTTCTTGATTAAGGTGTTCATGTCCTCCCGTTGTGAGGTCGCTGGTTTCTGGTGGCTTCATGTTGCTTTTCATCTTGTTGTGCGAATTCTTGCCTTGGTGTCTGCCCATCTCTTCTTCCAAATGCTCCCTTATGGATATTTTAACCACTGAATTTATACTGGATAATACAGAATTGACTTCATTATTTATTCAGGCTCAAGATATAATCAGGAATAGAATTTGCGTCATATATGTAACACAGATAAAATTCCATTTGGTTCCACCAGGTCCTCTAGCACAAGATAATGCAGAAATTGATCAATTATTATTGGAAATGTGCTGATGGCCTCAGAATTTTATTAAAATATGTCAATAGCTCAAGTTTAAAAAACTTGTTTTCTATTACATGACAAGCTAAGGAGAGTATAAGGAGATGTTCTTACATGTTCTTTATATAACAAAACACCACTACCTGCAGGGAGTAACCCAAAGGGTATTCAAACGAATAAAATCTGGCAGATGGATATGTTCTACTTTGTAGAATTTGGAAAATTAAAACATGTACACCATACCATTAACACCTATTCAGGTTTTCAATGAGCAACTACTTTGAGTTCAGAAAAGGCTGACTTGGTAAACATACATTTACTAGTAGTTACAGCCATCGCGGGTATACCTGCACATGTAAAAATAGACAACAGTCCAGCATAGGTTGCTTAGAAAATTAAACAGGTTTTGCTTATTAGACTATAAAGTATAATACAGGTCAGGCAGTTAAAGAAAGAGCAAATTGAAGTATAAAGGATATGTTAAAAGAAAAAAATGAAAAATAGCTCTAGTAATAGATTCCATAATGCTTTATTAACGTTGAATTTTCTTAATGCTAATGAGAAATGAACAACCGTAGCAGAGAGGCATTAGAAATTAGAAAAACTTCTGAATTAAATCAGCTGGTGTATTTCAAGGATTGCTGACCTTAGAATGAAAACCAGGATTTTCATTCTATGTGCTATTTTAGGGGTGGGGTTTCATTCTTGTTTCCAGAAAAGATGAAATACTACGGATACCATTAAAATTGTTAAAGGTTCTGTTTGAAAAAGAGATATCTCTTGATAAAGAGAAATGACAGCTCATACACAAAATTGACAATCCTACGGGTATTTGGGAACCTCATAAGTGTTGGGCAGCGTTCTGTTCTTATCTTTGCAGGAAAATACCATACGTCTTCAAAAATCCAGAGACTTGGTCATCTAGATGCTTAAAGAAGAAAATATAACTGTCTAGAAAGATTCACCAAGCAAAGAGAAATCTGACTTATGATATCCATATTCTTTGCAAGGTAAGATCTTATTGACATACAATAGTACTTTCCATTTATAAAAATCAAAGCTGGCTTTGGAGTTGGACAGTGACTATCCTTCTCTAAACCCAAGCATGTCGTTGAAATAAACATTTCAGAGTTTCTGTCTCATATCAGGAGCCACCTGTTATGAGAATTTTAAAATAAAATTTAGAGACTATTGTTATCAAACTTTCGCTTTCAAAAATTTTGCTTTTCGTCATATCTATTTTTCTCTCTATGGTACCTTTCATTAAATATATGTCTAAATAAATAATTTTTAATTGTCCACAATAAGCAATATTTTTTTCTGCAGTAATCTTTGAAGTTTCTAGGAAGAAGAAGTTTTCCCACAAAACAATTCCACCTGGTTTATATGATGTCATTATGCTGGTAGCACCACTTTAAAATTGGTTGTGGGTTACAAACTGCTCATGATCATTCCAACTTGGCTGGTTGTGATGGTGCACCTTCTGACAATGTTCTGGCCATGACTTCAAATAAGAACGTCAGTAAAGCCCTACTGACCACTCAGAGACTATCTGCAATTATGCCCGACAGTAATCTTGAAACTTAACCATCATTTTCAGTTTTTACAGGAGCCCATAGAAATAACATTACTGCCAAGACAGCTGGAAGTCATTTTAGAAAACAACATTCCCTCTACAAGCAAAGTTTGTCCTCAGGGTTAGGGACATCAATTAGGAGTTGGTTATAAGTGGTATGGGGTTGCAGGTGAAAATGAAGTAATCTCAGGCATCTCTTCTGATAATAAAGGGATTTGGATGGCATGGGATAATAAGTAGATTACTTGTGAGCTCCCATTTGTGGACAGTTTACATTTGTGTAGATTCTTCTATATTGATACTAATTCAAATTATATTTGCTATATTTAATATACTCCTATTTGTCTTTACAACATTTGTATACCTATGCCAAGTTATTTTGTCATATTGTATGCTGTAGTAGGAGCATGCTTGTTCATTTCCTGGCCACGCAGACTCTCAAAATAACCACACAGACACTATATTATTTAAATCACTGCTTGGCCAATAACTTAAGTGTATTACTAGCTAGCTCTCACATCTAGTTTTAACCCATTTTCAATATTTTATATTTTACCATGAGGCTCATGGCCTACCAGCAAGGTTCTGACATATCTGTCTCTGGTGGTGGCTCCATGGCTTCTCTAAACTCTGCCTCCTTTCTCCCAGCATTCAGTTTAGTTTTCTACCTTTTCCCCTATTCTGCTCTGTGCAGGCCCAAGACAATTTCTTTATTAACCGATAGTATTCACAACATACAGGGAGAAATCTCACATCAGTATGCTTGCATATGTTAACCTCTGCTTAAGATACTTTGTAATATTGACACAATTTTAAGATATGTTTATCATGTTGCCCTGTACATTTCTACCTTTGTTCAAGATACTTATATATTGCTCACATTTTGAAGTTATTTTCATCATTTTCTACACATTTGTTTAAAGATTGTTTAATTTTTTAAGATGAAGTTTTAGTCTTTAAGTTATTTAGGTATTAAGAATTATAGGTCAGTAGTCATCCATGTTTGCCATACTCAGAGTAATCAGAATCTTTAGATGCATAGAGATTGTATTTCATATAGATAGGTAAGTGTCAAACACTTTAAACAATTATAGACTATGGTACTTAGTTAACTTAAAATTCTATGGACATGAGACACAATTACTCCTGGAAGCACTGATCTGTTATTAAAAGAATCTTGGGCACTGATTACACCCCACTTCGAACTTCTTTTTTCTTTGCAAAATTGGCCTTTGTGCAAAGAACTGCTCCTACTTCCACCGGTGAAAAAATGCATGGTTTCCAGACTAGATAAGTGATATACAAGCAAAAAAGGCTGCTGAATCTTGACAAGATAGGGTAATACTGTTTTTTAAAAAAAAATTTCCTGCTTCTGGAAATTGTCTGTTAGTTACTCTAGGCCTTAGCCAAATTTGGTTGCCCCAACATTGCAAATGAGACCTTGAGTGATTACCCAGTTAGATGATTGTCTTTGTCGTTTCTTGTACCTTTTGGAAGTAGCTTGATTGCATTTCCTGTTTACTCAAGTAATATTATTTCCCTTTTAAGGTCTTTGATAGGTTTGAAGACTAGATTGTCATAGTTACATTTCTTTCATGAGTTTACTAAGCCATTTTTAGTATAAGACTTAGACTCCTTGGAATATGTTAATGATTGAAACATTTAATAATGGTTGAAACGTTAAATAATATTAAATAGTAATTAACTTTTAATAATGATTGAAACATTTAATATGTGTTTGATGTGTTTAATATATGTTTGATTTGTTTAATATATGCTTGATGTTTTTCATGATGAGTGTAATTCTATTTTTTTGTATATTTTGCATCTTCTTTTCCCTGGACAATAGTTGATATTTGTTCTTAGTGTATATAGTTTTGTATTAGGTTCTTTTGGCTGCTGGATTCAAATCCAGTTCCCAGCACATGCAGAGTACTGTGGATCAGATCACTATTCTTTCTGTGAGTTTATCCACAGATAAATAAACCTTTATTATACTCCATTCCAGGGTATTGTGAAACTTTTTTGTATGATAAGATGCCTGAGAATACACTGATCATGGTCTCATATCCACTTGTTTCAAGTGTCTTCCAAGCAGCAAAAAGACATAGACCTATTCATAGAAAGATAGAAAACAAGAGCTAAACATTATTTTGTGTTTATGATAAGCATACATATTATTATAAATTATAAATTCTACTATCTTATTTACAGCTGTATTTTAGTATTTAAATTGTGGCTAGTGTCTTTATTGTAAAAGGGAAGGAAGGGCAGGGAAAGTCCTGAAAAAATTTATGTGGCTTAAGTGAGCATGTAAAACACCCATTACAAACATTTGTAACATCTCCCCTTCCAAGTAAGTAGTCTTCCTCAAAGTTAGGTACATGGACGGAGGGATCAAAGGCTACCCAGGAATATTGGAAGAAAATAACTCTTTTTTCAGTGTAGGCAGCCAGGCCTAGTAAAGCATCAAACCAGACTCAGAGCCCGTGGCATGCAAAGGGCAAGGCTACAAGACACATTTCCTTGTAACATTTTTTAATCCTTTTTTAAAAAAGATTAAAAACATTTACTGAATTCAAATAAGCTACACAGAAATAATGTGTATTGATAATGTTTTCACACATTTCTTCTTTTATTACTTTATGAATAATACCAATCAAAATTTCACTTCCTCCCCTCCTCCCTCTTCCCTCCCAGGCCACAGCAGATTCTGCTTTGGGAATTGTCTACCAAATGAGAAAATTCAGTAAGAAAGAACAGCTGTATTTAGAGCAGTGGGACCAGAACCTGTGATGTGAGCAAGGTACAGCAGGCGGGACCAGGCAACTTAGAGCATGAGCTCACGTGCACGTGCAGCTGTGACACTGTCTAGCACTGGGAACTAACTCAGGGGTATACAGAGGCAACCTGGAAGAGGGAATTTAAAACCTGGCATTAAGCATGCAGGCGGGAGAATCTGACGTGCATGGCCAGCGACTGCCAGGCTGTTGAAAATGCCTTTGTGAGCATTCTGTGGACCTGTGGCAGTCATGGCCTTTCTCAGGCCAGATCTAGTGGTTGTAGGATGAGGCTGGAGGCAGGACACTGTGCCTAAGCAGCACTTCTATCTGTAAGTTCTCCTGGAGACCTGCTGAAGAAATAGAAACAGTCATCAAAAGTCTCCCAACCAAAAAAGTCCATTGCCAAATGCTTTCACTGCAGAATTCTACAAGATTTTCAAAAATGAACTGATATGAATATTCCTCCAATTGTTCCACATTACAGAAAGAGAAGGAAAATTGACAAACTGTTTATATGAATGTGTGATTACCCTGATACCCAAACCACACAAAGACTTTATTAAGAAAGAGGATTATGGATCAATTTCCCTCATGAACATTGTTGCAAAAATACTCAATAAAATACGGGCAAACCGAATCCAAGAACACATCAGAAAAATCATCCACCATGATCAAGTTGGCTTCATCCCAAAGATGCAGGGATGGTTCAATATACAAAAATCTGTCAATAAACAACTTGAAGAAAAATTAACCATATGATAATCTCATCAGATGTTGAAAAGCCCTTCAATAAAATACAAGATCCCTTCATGATAAAGGTCTTGGAGAAAACAGGGATATAAGGAACATACCTAAATACAATAAAGGCAATATATAGCAAGTCAATTGCTAACATCAAACTAAATGGAGAAAAACTCAAAGCAAGCCCACTGAAATCAGGAACGAGACAAGGTTATCCACTCTCTCTATGTCTATTCAATATAGTACTTGTGGTTCTAACTAGATAATGTTTACAATTAACATTACATAAATCCCATCTAAATTAGTTTGGATTAGAGGACCCTGATTCCATTCCCGGCCCCTACATACTAATTCATCATTTGTTCTAATTCCAGTCCCAGGTATCTCCTCCCTTCTTCTGCCCTCTGTAGGTGCTGTGCACAGACACATGCAAGCGAAACACCATTTAACTAAATATTTTTTAAAGTTAGAAAAAATAAAGAAAGAAATTCTGCAGTGATGTCCCAACCCTGAGACAGACAGCAAGCCAGGCCTAGTTAAAATGGACTCCTTGGGGGCTGGAGAGATGGCTCAGAGGTTAAGAGCATTGCTTGCTCTTCCGAAGGTCCTGAGTTCAATTCCCAGCACCCACATGGTGGCTCACAAGCACCTGTAATTCGATCAGGTTCCCTCTTCTGGCCTGCAGACAGAACACTGTATACATAATAAATAAATAAAATTTAAAAAAAAAATAATAAAATAAAATGGACTCCTTGTCTCGTATGGAAGCAGCTGTGACCTTCCTCCTAATCACCCTACTCAGAGCAAAAGCAGCTTTGCTCTAAGATTAATAGAGATCAGCATAACCCTTCATCCAGGAACACTGTATAGGTGACTTTTCCTTGAAGTCTTATGGTTTTGTGTTCTCTATCTTTTCTGTGTGTGAGAATTATGGTGTTGGTACAGTTATCTTTCAGATCAAACATCAAGATTGATAACCGACTTTTCACAGTGTCATTTACTTGATTTTCTGCTAGACCTTATGGTAAAATATGAACATGCTAGAGGCAATTCTTTTCATCATTTTTGTGATTTACATTTATTCCTATATGACTTTGGGGTAAGAATGTCCCTAACTCTGTTTCTGTGATCATGTTCAGAAGTGGATTTGTTAACTGAGCCTGCTTAAGAAAAGGAAGAACATTACATGAGCATGATCAGGCTTCCTAAGTAAAATTCCCATGATTCCTTTGTTGAGGAAAAACACTGTTTTGAAAATAACTCCCAGTCACTCCATGCCTCCTGCAGGTAAGAATTTTTTTCTCATTTCCTCTGTCTTGGCTGTTGAGATGGCTATTTTTGGTAGTCAAACTGACTACCTCTGGGATTAAGTAATGCATAAAAGATTGAGTATACCTGAGAGAAATTTTACTTTCAAGGTTTGAAATGGGAAAATTCTCCTTTACTCTGCATAATTTGAGATGATAGGAATCACTTTAGCTGCTTGCTGTCAGTGCACACTTTTAACACCATCATACAAGAGTCAGAGGCAGTGTGGTTTTTTGAGTTTGAGACCAGTCTGGCCTACAGAATGAGTTCCACAACTACACAGATAAATCCTGTTTTGAAATCACCAAAAGAAAAAAATCTGAATCAAAAAAAGACTATGATTTAACTTTAACCAGGATCTCACCTTCTGGTAACAACAGTCACTTTTAAAATATATTAATTTTTTATAATTTTTTTTTTTTGGTTCCTTGTTCTAGCTCTGGCTTCCCAACTCCTTCCTTTTCTAACATTATAGCCTACTTCATTGAAATTTTGGTGAATACTTAAAAGTAGCTGATAGATTCAAACTCGTGGGCTAAAAAACTCCTGGATTTTTCACTTGATCTCAGGCAAAAGGCTGAGAAGCAATCTACTGGATTCTTCAATTTCTGTTGGTAGGCAGCTATTTCTAGACAACCTGGATCAGAGCTTGTGAGACATTCTACTAAGCCCTCTTTTTACATACATAGTGAGATTTAGTCATCCTGTCATGTAAAGAATCTTAAATAATGCACTTGTTTATTTTAATCACCTGACCATGGAGGAAGACGTGCTGGCTAACAATAGTGCTCATGAAGACATTTTTCCTAGTTCCATTATTGTCTACGTATTCAAATTTCCATGAACACTACTCTTTTGATTATTATTCATTTGCCTGGAGCATGCTTTGAATTTTGAATTTCAGGGATAGAACCCGTCAAGCAATGGAGCCATCATCCAGCTTTCCAGTGGGGGAAAGACCAATCATCTTGCTTGAGATCTGGTTGCTGCTTTTCTCTTTTCTGTTTTGTGAAATCTCTGTGAAAACCATGTAAAAAGTACATTCCGTTCATGTGACCTCAGCATGAAGTCACAGAACAAACATCTTTTTTTGTGACCTTAAAACTCTCTTTAGCTGTTAATATTCTGGGCATCCTTCCCCTGTGGGACAGGAAATCACTGCACCCACCTAATATAGTGCAGTGTAGAAGCTAGCTAGCCAAATTGTGTCCTGGAGGAAAAAGGGAAAGTTCCTATGGAATGCAAGGTGGAGGCAGTGTTTGTTTTTGGAGCCAGGGAAAGTACTATTGAAATGCATATGTTTCTAGATCTAGAAAATGTCTTTGATTGGGGTGGAAGGAATGGCCAGGAACCACTGTGCTGTGTCTTTACACTGCACTGGTAGGTGCTCTTGCCACTCAGAACTCACTAGCCAATCAGGCCCTCCAGGTGACCTGCCAGTCAGAAGTGGTGCAGGGCTCTTCCGGCACCCGCCTTCAGACTAGGCTTTGCCTAGGAGCCTCTGCCATTGTTTTCCTGTGCCGTGGTGCAGTTGCTGCTGCAGGGAGATGATGAACTGAGAGCTTTGGCGATCTGGGGAACCACAACATGGTGAGTGAGGGAATGCTGTCTCCGGATGGGGAGGAGCAGAGGGTGAGGTGAGGGAGGCTGCATGGTGCGTCCTCCATGGATCCGTGTGGGAACCTGCCGCCAGATTCCCTGTGCTGTGGAAGTCCCATGTGGTCTTTGTTAATTCATAGACCTGGGACAGACCTTTGAATGACTTTGGTTGGTGGTATTATCTACTTAGAGTATTGGGAGAGGGATGCTCTATGTAAAAACATATTTCTTCTGAACTTCAATATGCCAAACTCCAAGAGTCCTAGTTTCTCCAATATCTTCTCGCTATTGATCAATTTATATTTAACCTTTACATATAATCTCTATTTATATTTAACTATGTGGAGGGTATCAAGGCATCTCACCTGTTGGGTAGCACTGCACTTCCAAGCCGCAGCATAGAAGAGTAGAATTGGTGATGTAAATGAGTTGCCAATGTCTTGGATATAGTTTAGTCTGACAAAGTAGCTGAGGGAGGACCAGCCCTAAAACACCCAGAAGGTAAATGTGTTTTAATCAGGGCTGTTAGAGATTATGATGCAAGGGTACACATCGCTCAACTGGATTGTCCAGATATTTGGCTCCAAACCATTTACAAAGAAGCCACCACTGATTTAAAACCAGACACCAGGCACATCCCCATATCAAAAAAACAAACAAACAAAAAATACCAAGCCTCTAACAAGCTTCCCAAGGAGGCATTACAGGTTCCCAACCAACCATAAGGTCTAATGTGCCTTAAAGTTCCAGTTTTCTTCTTAAGAAAAGCACAGTTCTTCCAGATGGGCAATAGGACACCAGGTGACATATATTGAAATGTGAAAAGTTGTTGTGCTGATCAATCAAGGGTTTTATTTATTCCCTCAGGCAGGGAGCAGGGACATTCCTAGGAGATCTGGTAACAGCCTGGGGGCTAAGCCTTGTGAGTTTCCCTAAGGACTGATAATAAGTATTGATAATAAAACAGAGCTCCTTCTCTAAAACAAGGAATGTGCTTTGGAGAGCTGGTGCCAAGGCCTTTGTGGAGGGGTTGCTTGAGATCTTAAGAACCCAACTCTTCCCACCATATGGAGCTGTGGTTATCATTCCCAAGGTCACTCTGCACTTAGTAAAGTTCTTAAGATACCCTGTGTTCCCCTTGTGTTGAATTGTTTGACTAGTCTCCTCCTAAATTTTTTGATAATTTATATTGACTTCTTATAATTCTCCCATTTCCATCCATTCTCTCTCAGGAAGTATATAAGATGCTCCTCCTCCTGCTCCTCTTTTCTTCTTCTTCTTCTTCTTCTTCTTCTTCTTCTTCTTCTTCTTCTTCTTCTTCTTCCTCTTCCTCCTCCTCCTCCTCCTCCTCCTCCTCCTCCTCCTCCTCCTCCTCGTCTTCTTCTTCTTCTACTTCTTCTTCTTCTTCTTCTTCCTTCTCCCTCCTTCTTTCAGTTTTTGGTTTTATTTTTTGAGACAGGGTTTCTCTGTAGGACTGTCATGACTAGCCTGGAATTCACTCTGTAGACCAGGCTGTCCTGGAACTCAAAGAGATCACAGTGCTCAGCCTCCTGAGTATGGAGATTAAAGGTGTGTGCCACCACTGCCAGGCAAGATCTATTTTCGTTAGGAAGCTTACTAGGCATCTGCAAGACCT